TTCTCCACAACTCTTTCTACTCTCAGCTTGTGACCAAGACTTCAGGGTCTTTTTTCTGTTGAGAAAATAGTGTGTGAAGAACAGGGCGATGTAGTGTAGTAGTTGGACAGATGACATTGTGAATCAAAGCACTCTTTCCTACCTTGTTTGTATTCCCTTGGAGCCCCCCAGGAATTCAGTCCTTTTATTGGGTGACCTCGACTGCCCTTTGTTCAGTTTACCCTTGTGTGAGAGGTAGTTGGATTGAACCCCGCACTCTCCACAAGACTGCATTTTCCTCTCTTCTCAAGACAGGGGAATTAGCACAGACTATTGATCCCAAGACTATAAGCACTGTCTCTAGGAAGTGAGCCTATTGTCCCTATGATTCCTGCTGTCACTAACATGTCAAACAAGAGACCAACTTGGCCCGACTAGGATGGGATTCAAACCCACGCATGCAGAGCACAATGTTCTTTGATAAGCTGATTTTTGTTTTGTGTGTGTGTGTGTGTGTGTGTGTGTGTGTGTGTAGCTGTGTCTGATTTGCAGTTGATCCATCAGACAGAGCAGCCGGTAACAGAACAGCCAGAGCCAAAGGAAATCAAATCATACAACCAGGTAACACACATACAGACACATCATTTCTAACTTCAACTAAAACATGTGATTTGGTTTTATAATGTATGTATATATATTTGTATATAGATATAACAAAAACTCTAAATGCTGCTTGTAAAAATATGTTTTCTAACCCAACTTAAAATCATTGTTAGTTTCCTTTATAAATACCTGATATGTTCTGATTGATAATGTCTGTATTCACATTTCCTAGAAAGGTAGTTTATTAACATTTTTATTCACTCAGCAGGTGGCGCTGTGTTGTCTCTTCAGTAAACTGTCCGTCCTGGAGCAGCTGAGAGACGAAGCTGATAAGACACGAAGACAGATGGACAGACAGACAGAGGAGAGAGGGAAGACAGAGAGAGAGACAGAAGAGCTGGAGGAACAGCTACTTACAATGGACACCACAGACTCACAACATGTGAGTATTTATTACAGTTTTAACAATTGGTCAGTCTCAGAACCAGCACCAGTTGAACTTTATTAACTTTTAACTTTATTCGACTGAGGTCGGGATGAGATTTACTCTCCTCCATCCATTGATAAAAACAATCAAATAAAAACGTTCTCTCGTTCTAAGATAAAAACAGTAATTGTAGTTGTCTGATGAATATGATGGATTAAATAGTACAGTCTTACAGTATAAGATGGCGGGCCAACAACTTCTGGTTCAAGCGAGGATTGTGGAGGGAGGATGTGCCCATAGACTCAGTTACTCACTGAACCTTTTCTTACTAGAAATATGACTCTAATACAAAGAGTCATATTATTATTCTCCACCTCAAGAGAGCGTAAAAACATTTTAGCAAAATACATTTTTTCCATAAGCTCCTCCTCCTTCTCCATACTTCAGTATACATTACTGGAAACACAGCTATTATACTCCAATTGGTATTCATATTACAGTCAGGTTGTTTACTGGGTACATAGAATTAAAGCCTCTTTCAGTTCATTGTATGAATTTTCCAAATAGCACACAGATTGTTTGTCAGTCATGTTGATTTGTTGTATACTTTGTGCAGTGCTGAGCACAATCTGAGGAAGTGGAGTCATCAGTGTGTAGGATTTAGTGCCATTGAGCAGTGGAGTTTGACTCATATCTGTATTTGACCAGCTGGGAATGAGAACGGGCTGTGGCACCAAATCTGAATCATCAGTAGTTTGCTTTTTCCATGCTGAGACTGAGTCTCTCTCAGACAGCAGAGAGAAGAAAGGTTAAAAGTGTGCTGGAGAATGCGGGCATCGATCCCGCTACCTCTCGCCATGCTAAGCGAGCGCTCTACCATTTGAGCTAATTCCCCTGTGTCTTAAAGGAGTAGTCCACCGAAGGAGTTTGTGGATGTTTCAGTAGTTTGAATAAAGTTTTGAATGGAGGGCTTTCAGTTGTAATGGAGTAGGTTCACACTCCAGCCTCCTGCAAAGGATCAGCAGTTATAGTTAATGGATGGATGGATGCTAGTGGAAGCAGCCCTGAGGGGTTTGTTTGATGGATGTATTTAAGGATGTATACTTAAAGGATGTATACTTATTATACTATAAATGTAACAGAAATTATAGTATTCTCAGTATTTACCTTCATATTGTATCCAAATCATACAGAGAGAGAGCGGATCAACACTAACCATCGTCACTACCAGTGATCCTCATAAAACTGTAACCATATATTCAATTCTTTATTTATTTGTGCCTTTATTTCCAAATCCATGGCTCATTTCCCACTGCAGACACAGTGAGTTTCATCGTTGTCACCATTGTGATTTCTCCTGATCATTCCAGCCCATAATGCTCTCACATGCGGCTAATACAGTGTATTAACCAGTAACCAATAGGGAGGCTGGATAACCTGCTCTGATTGGCTGACCTCTGTCCCTCAGGCCCATGTGACCGGCCGGTTGTCCAGCTGGAAGCAGCTGTTGGACAGGATGAGCAGGAAGGAGAGCGAGCTGGAGGGTCGCCTCGACAACATGCTGTCACGCATCGCCATGGAGACGCAGGAGATCAAAGAGCTGGAGCAACAGCTAACCGATGGTGAGGACCAATCAATCACTGACCAATCAATGACCAATCACTGACCAATCAATCACTGATCAATCAATCACTGACCAATCACTGATCAATCAATAACTGACCAATCACTGACCAATCACTGATCAATCAATCACTGACCAATCACTGACCAATCAATCACTGACCAATCACTGACCAAGGTGGTTTACCTCTTCCTCCTCCTCCAGGTCAGATTTTGGCTAATGAAGCTCTTCAGAGAGATTTGGAGGGAATCATCTCAGGACTTCAGGAATATCTGAGAGGACTCAGAGAGCAGGTAGAGACTCTTCATCAAGTAAACCTGTTTGTGAAGTGTGTTTACTGGTAGATACTGGTGGTCACTGGTGTTTACTGGTGGTCACTGGTGGTTACTGGTGGTTACTGGTGGATACTGGTGGTCACTGGTGTTTACTGGTTGTCACTGGTGGTTACTGGTGGTCACTGGTGGTCACTGGTGAATACTGGTGGTTACTGGTGTTTACTGGTTGTCACTGGTGGTTACTGGTGGTCACTGGTGGTCACTGGTGAATACTGGTGGTTACTGGTGGATACTGGTGGTCACTGGTGGATACTGGTGGTTACTGGTGGATACTGGTGGTCACTGGTGGATACTGCTGGTTACTGCTGGTTACATGTGTATGTGTGTTTCAGGCTGGTCGCGCTCAGCAGCAGGTTCACAATCTGCAGGCTGAGAATCAGAGTCTACAGCTCCACCTGGAGGACACTCAGAGACACTGCAGACAGCTGGAGGACACCGCCAGGACACACAGACAGGTCAGTGTGTGACTCTCAGAAGGAAAATGTTTGATATTTCTCTGGTTAGTACATGTCTCTCTCTGTCTGTGTCTGTCTGTCTTCAGGACATGTCCATCCAGCAGGAGGAACTGTCTGTGTTGAGGATGGAAGCCCAAGCTCTGAGAGACAGACAGGTGCAGAGCAGCAGACAGCAGGTGGAGCTGGAGGCGGAGCTTCAGCTGCTGAGGGAGGAGCTAACCCGACAGATCACTCTGGGACAGGTAACAGGCTGCTGGAGACGTTTATATGTGAAAGCATGAAAATTAAATCACATCAAGAAACCTTCATACGACAAAGACACTGTGTGTGTGTGTGTGTGTGTGTGTGTGTAGTTGGAATGTGGTTCTCTGCAGGCAGCTGTAGACAAAGAGAAACAGATCAGAGAGATCAGAGAGTCTCAGCTACAGTCAACCATCGACACACTGCAGGTCAGTACACACACAAACACAGACACAAACAGACAAACACACAAACACAGACACAAACAGACAAACACACAAACAGACACACACAGCCGACACAATCCTTAAGAGAAGTAGAATATGGAACGTATCAATAAAACCCACAACAGTCGACCTCTGTTATGCACACGGCACAGCAACACTACACCTGACATAACGTAATTAACTTACATCCCATATAGGAGCAGCTGTTGTGTTGCTATCGAGCAACGTTGGACAAGACTCACACTGTGAACATCGAACATTTCCTGTTACATGTACAAGTATTGTGTTATATTTAGGATTATACAGCTAAAATATGAGGAATTTTCAGTTTCTGTAGTTCTGTTTTGACCCAATCAGGGTTCCCACGAGTCCTGGAAAACCTGGATATTTAAAGACTAGTTTTCCAGTACAGAACAGCAGAAAGACTGACCACCTACTTCTAATCAATTAATCATTCAATTCAATTCAATTCA